TCCTGCAGCGTCATTACCGACAGCCAGTATTTTACTTATAGCCCCAGTTCCTGGGGGCCACTGGGGGTCTCACTGGTACGCGACCCCTCTTCCCACCTGTGGAGGGAAACAAAAGCCTCCCAAACTCCGACAGATGTTGTGGCAGAGAGGGGAAGGGAAAAAAACAGGGAAAGAAACCCCTCACGGCTGCTGGCGTCTGCTGACCCTGAGGTTTACGCACCGTGTTGGAAAGGGGCAGGCCCCGGTGCCGAGCTGGGACTGCCGGCACACACCACAGCCCGAGCCCCGCTTGCCCCCCCGCCCTGGCTTTTCTGCACCCCCAGCACAAAGCCCCTTCAGGAATTAATCAACTAAATGATTGATAAACTCAACACAGAGAAGACAGGCCAGCACTTACATTAACGCAACAAAGAAAAATTTAGATGTCGCTGTGGCTTCCACCGTTACAGCAGGGAGCCTCCCCGCAGCTGCAGCGGTGCCACCGGGCTGTGGGCGGGGAGGGGGCAGCTAATTTGCTTCTGAATTATCTAATTAGACACTGCTTGCAAGGATGAACCTCCCATAAATAAGGGGGTGCTGGGGGCTATGTGGGAGTTGCAGCTTCTAAAGGTGCAGGGCTTTGCTGTGGTGGTTGAGGGGTGGCTGAGGCTGGTGAGGTGTGAGCTGTCGGTGGCACAAGCTGGTGAGGTTTTGGGGATCTCTGGGAAGCCCCTCAAGAGGTGTTTTGCCCCTATTGTGCTACTGCCTACCCCCTCCCCAGCCAGAGCCCCTACCCTGAGAAAGGGCTGGAGGGGATCATGCTGCCTGAGCAATGGGACCTCACATGAAGGGTCTTAAGTGCTGAAATAAGTTACTGCCACTTAAATACTGTGGGCTCTAAATGAAGGTGTGGGGAGGCCGGAGGGGGGGAACAGGCTGTACCGGGGAGGGTTTTTTTTTTTAATGCTGAGGTGTGGAGCAATGAAATACTGTGACTTTGGGCAACGGGGCTCTGAGCAACCTGCCCTAGCTGCAATGTCCCTGCTCAGTGCAGGGGGGTTGGACCGGATGCCCTTTAAGGGGCCATTCCAACCCAAACTATTCTATGATTTGGGGCTGGTGCTGCCAGCAATGGGCCTCCAGCAATCTGCTCCCTGCAGAGCCCTCGCTGTCACCCCCGGGAGCGAGGTCAGTCTGGGGACCTGGAAGCTGGCA